TATATATATATATAATATTTAATTAATTAATTTTCGTGAAAAATAAAAATGGTTTTTATTAAAAAAAATGTATCAGTTTCTTTAGTTTTACGTAACTTTAAATAATTACAAGTATTTAATTTTCTACAAATAAGTTATTAAGTTTACTGACAAAAATAGTTGGTGCTTAGATCACTTATGTTTGGATAAAAATGATCCTATTTGCCGCTAATATGACTCAATAGGCGTGCTGCCCATCGTTCATCTACATGCTGTGCAAGTGGCCCTTCACTCAAAAAAGTATATTAAATTATAATGGAAAAGGATATGCATAAGTATTTCTCACCAAATTTTTCGAATCAAAATAACTAAATGTGTGAGTTCTGTTTCTCTAATAACTGTTCTCACCTTCAATTCCTTTTCGAAAACCATTATTCAATGTCAACGTTCGAAACATCTAATTCAGAACTAGATGTTGCTTCAGACCTGTGAATTCAGTGCATTTAAATTGATTCTGAGGTTGTGTTATTCATAAAACAATAAAAAGAAACACATTAAGTATATTCAGTTTTATTTGTTAGTTGAATATTATTCCACCGAAAAGTAGTTGCAGAAGTGAATTTTTGTTTCAATTGACAGGTGGACAGAAACCAGAGTTTGTGAGAAAATTATTCAACAAAAGTGTTCCTATTAACAAACACGTCGTGTTTGACTGTGAAGCCATTGGAAATCCCGTTCCAACAGCTAGATGGTAATTCTCTCTCTTTAATCAATATTATAGTTTCATTTTTCAAATACCATTTTGAACATCGATCGTTGCTAAATAATCTTGTATAGTGCTTGAGAGGGATTCTAGACGATTATTTTTAACAAAATTTTCGATATTTTGATTAAAAAAATAAATATTTTAACTGTTTTATTCTGCGAAATTTAGTACCAAGTCTAAGGATAATGCTCAAAAAACTTCCGAAATTTCTGTGATGTATATAAAATCACTTATTTGAGAGAAGAAAAAAAAAATTTCTCATTAAAATTTAGCAAAGCAAGCATACGACAGAATATTTACGATATGGAATGGAGTTACCAAACGATATAATTTATTACTTTTCTTACCAAATATTTGCCATATAATTAATTTTCATATTTGTATACAATACAAAATATGAAAGCATATAAGTGCCATTTATCATTGTTTAATTTTTTTATATTATAAATTTATTAATAGTTTCTTGTGATGAGTAATCAACTAATTAAAAGAGCCAATTTGATTCATTAATTTATTAGTAAAAGATATTAACAGTACTAAATTNAAGCATATAAGTGCCATTTATTATTGTTTAATATATATATATATAAGAATAAAAACAAAAAGGGTAAAAGGAAGAAAAAAAGATAAAAATGCAGAAAATTAATAAGTTTTATTTAGGGATTTTGTTTTATGGCGCATTCTGCAGTTAGAATATGTCATAAAACAAAATCCCTCTAATTATACTTTTTCCTCCATTAGGACTTCTGTTTTCATATTTTGTAATCTGACAATCTTATTACGAAAATATTTTAAATCATTCTTGAAAGATTCCGTAAGCTCATTTGAATTTGTTACTTCGCCTTATACGTTTTTCGTTTTATTTTTTTTCCTTTGCATTTTATTTCCTGTTATTTGTGTGATCTATTTTTTTTTACTTCATGCGTTCTATTTTGTTACAGTTTTTCTGAGTGCTCCTCACACTATTGTATCGATATATTTTGCGTTGGTTCTATTGGTACAATATTAGAAAGCACTCCTTTTTGCGTATATGATCGTGTGAGCTGATGAATAGATTATATCTTTTAATTTTTTGTATATTTGCTATGTAATATGTGAATTGAGAAAAGGCGTTTTGTCACAGGTTCAAGAATGGTCGTGAAATCCATCCGGGTGGTCGTCTCCTGTTGTCTGAGGGAAAAGATGGAGAATTCAAGTTGACGTTCACGGAAGTGTGGGAGAATGATGAAGGGGAATACGCTTGCGTCGTCTCCAACTCTATTGGATCTGACAAATGTTTTGCCAGAATGATTATAGCAGGTATATAGCCCTTCTTAGGTATATACATTCTCTGCAATTCACACTGTTACTAACGGTTAACGCTAGAAAAACTCTTTGTAATAACTATCGATTGTCTTTCACATAAAGTTGTCGCAATGATTCTTGTCTGAAGATTTTTCATCGCCAGGAAATAATTCAATTAGTCTTGAATAATAAACAAGTAATATAAAGAGTCAATTCCTACTCAGATCAACAAAGAAAATTTTTATTTTAGTTACTTTTTACTAAATAACTAGTGGGCTGCGCCCCCTGATCACTAACGCTCGCCAACCCCCGAAAATTGCTACGCAATCTTATATGGTTTGCTTCGCTCGCTACTAACTTAGGTACATTGCATGTGCACAAAATTCTAAGAATTCAAAACAATCATTCAAATCCATATAAAAACTTTTTTTTAATAATAATTACATCTTTTTAGCAAATACTAAGTCATTAAAATAAATTTGAATTCAAATAAATGACATGTAATTCGTTACACCTATTGGAAATGTGCTATAGTATAATTCGTGATATAAATCAAAAATCGTCAAATAAATTCGTAATATATAATTTCGTGAAAAAAAGCGCTTTCGACAAAATACTAAAATAGAGATCTATCGACAAAGACTGCTCACTTCTGCCTAGCTTAACAGTTTGAGATTGCCGCAGCTGATGCTCTCTGGTTATTTCAGTTTCCATTTTTAAAAGTGCTATATGTTGAGCCACCTCACTTAGATTTGGCATGTGACATTTTTAGTGACAATCATTGGTTGATTCGCCGTGTAAGAGAAATAGTAACGTACACAAAACAAAGCAAGCGTTGCCACCGGCGGAAAAGAAATACAGCCAAAATTTGGGAGCCACGTAAGAGAGTTGTGTATATTAGATTGCAACTTCTCCAATATAAAACTATAATTAATTAAATTTAACGAATATTTTTAAAAAAAACTATAACATAGAGTGTCATCCAAGTTTAAAAAAATGTATTTGAACTTGTATGTATGAATTCTTTTATTAAATATAGAAAATTTGAACAAGATAGAGGGTGAACTAATAGTGGGAAAAGAGTACTGTAATAAAATGAATAAAATGTATACTGTAATAAATGAGTTTTTATAGTACTGTAATAAAATGAATTTACTGAAAATCAGGCTAAGTTTATGAAAATAAATTTCATTTCTGAAGGAAGGTAAATCTGTTTCTTCGAATTTGAAAATTGATATTTTTTTTAAAATCATTTCTACAAGATCGCTATCTTATTTTTTTTTCTCTTACAAAGAGGTTAACTTTTAGATATACCAGAAAAGGTGAACTGAAGGATTGTTTTTTTTTTAGTTCGTTTTATTTTTAAATAATTTCTTTTTTGTGAAAATTTATTAGAAATGTATTACATGCGAAATTAATAAAGCAATTTTGGCATCTGTAAGAATATCACTATTTTTTTTTCTTTCTCCTAAACCAATAAGTGCTATTTCACCATTTATAAAGTTTTCAAGTGAAAAACTTTTTTTTTTAAAATTTCAAACATCGTTATTTTTAAATTGTATTTAGTTTGATGTAAAAATCTTTTTTTTATCAAAATCATAAACAAATTAAACACGTGACTTTAGATTTGTTGACGTAGTTTTCTCATGCTACAACGTTCTCATTGAACATTCTGAGATAAAATAAATAAGTAAATACACAATAAGGTAACTCCTTTTTTGATGAATATGAATTATAAGCAAGCAAACATCACTGATTCTGTCTTCAAAATGACAGACTTGTCGGCATTTTAATTTATATGTCTAAGCCAGTGAACGTCTTTCCCGAATGATCTGAACGAAATTTTTAAACCATTTGTAGAATCATAGACTAAAGTTGCCTTCTTCACAAATGGAGGGACTCTTCATTTTATGAATATAGATGTCCTACAGTCCCTGGCCAAACTATTAGACGCCCTCTATAAGATCTAAATGATCAGGTGATACTATACAGCTTTATAGTTTGTACGCTGCTTAAACCGGTTTGCACTTTTTTATGTTCGTGTATCTGTTGGTTAACATTGTAATGCAATACGTTCAAAATAAATACAAACAGGAAGTATATTAATTATCTCATGAATAAAAAAACTCATTACATGTGTGTCTAAATGTAAAAGTATCACTTATAACCTCGTGCAAAACTTTTCATTATTAAAAAAACCTTCAGTGCGTTATATAATTTGATATAATAAATATTCTATATTTATATAATATATCGTCTAATGTATCCAATCGTCGAATTTATATGATATATCGTCTCGTGTATCCAATCGTCGAATTTATATAATACATCGTCTCGTGTATCCAATCGTCGAATTTATATGATATATCGTCTAATGTAACCCATGGATACAGGACCGTAAACAAGTGCAAACAGTCGTTTGAAAACAATAAAGCTGTATAGAGTATCACCTGATCATTAAGATTTTGCATAGAATCTTACAGTGCGTCTAATCGTTTGGCTAGGGACTGTACATAATATTGGACTAAATTCAAGAATTACTATAAAATCAGAATCTTGATCCTACTGGACAGAGTGACGGTTTGTTAAATGTGATGCGAAATAAATGAAGATTCTCTTTCTTGAATAGCCGCACCCAGAATCGAAAGATGCCCCACAGAAGTCCTCTTTCCCGAAAAAGAAAACGGAAAAGTGAAAATCTATTTCTCTGGCACTTCACCCTTCGACGTCTTCTTGCACAAGGAGGGATTCGAGGTGAAAGAGAACGACGATCACATCAAGTACACGGTGTTCGACGACTACGTCATCATTTACTTTAAGGACATCTCAAAGAATGACGTCGGGAAATACAAACTGACAGTCAAGAATGACAGCGGATCTGCCGAAGCTACCTTCTCACTCTTTGTCACCGGTAATATATCTCTCTTAATTTCTAAAAAATTCTTTTTTTTCTCCCCTCACCATTCTCAATCCATTTATTGTGTGTCGCAGGTCTCCCTGGTCCTCCCATCGGTCCCTTGGAGGTGAGCGACATCAGCCAGCACACGGCCACCCTGGCATGGAACCCCCCGGAATACGACGGGGGATGTAAAATCACTCACTATATGATAGAGAGGAAAGAAACAACTCACAACCAATGGGTGATAGCTGTCAGCTACTGCAAGGTTACCTACATTCTGCTATACACTAATAGAGCGATATAAACTTATAAACACATTTATCCATCATGAATTAACCTTGATTTTTCGTTGCTCTATTTAAGGCAGGGCTCGAAAAACAGTGTTCGTGATACATTTTCAATTTTTGTTATCTTACAAACAGTCTTGTAAGTTACAAGGCAGCAAAATGACCCACAATACAGCAACATACTTCGCATATATTGATGTTTTCTCTGTCTGGGAGTATTGCAGCGGTTGAAAGGGGCTTTACAGCAATAAACTTACAAAAAAACACAATACGTACTGGTCTTAAACAAGAAGCTTTAAAAGCAATTATGAACATCTACCTAAATGGAAAACCCCTTTCAGATTTCTGTTCAGAAACCTCTGTAAATCATTGGCTTGATTGTGGAACTGGCAAACGTCATATTTCATTCATTTAAAAAACGCAGTACCCTCGGATAACTTGACATTCCAGATAACTTGACCCTTGTCATTTAAATTATTTCATAAAAGAAATACTAGGTTACTATTAGTAACCTAGTATTTCTTTTATTACTGTATAATGTAATCCTAGTAACGACTAATTCATTGTGCAATTTATATAAATGTTTGTAATAAATAGGAGAAAATTATATTTTTATTTATTTCGAAGCGACGGGTTAGTTTCAAAGGAGGACAGGTGCATTGTTGGACAAACCGTCCTCGGGGACGGGTAAAATTTCTGAGTTTTTTCGAGCCCTGATTTAAGGGTTAAGATACTCTGAAGTCTAAAAATATTTCGAAAAAAAATTGTGATCACAGGTGACCCACAGGCAAAATGGTTGTTGTCTAATTTTTTTTAAATATATTGTTCAAATGATTAAATTTCCTTTTATTCACAACTCAAGAAGTATTTGTGGGATTTCTCTGGTCCCCTATCTCAAAAATAAACTCACCCACTTAATGCGTAACAAAATTAAGAGTGAAAAAAAAGAATTCTAACAAAATGATCGAACAGCAGCGGTCGCCATAGCAAAGCTTGCAACGGCGACGCATGAGCACTATCTACTATTACTCTTCGTCCACACCATCAAACCCAAAACAACACCCATTTTGCCAATGACTTTACAGTAGATTTGCCGCTTATCGCCATACTTTTATGAGCGTTCTCTGCACGCGGCACTGTGTCTACTATAGATTAGTTCACATCGTGTCCGAATTTTGTCCATGAAATTGAATGTTTTATTTTACGAATGAATCAAAAGCTTTTTGAAATCAATTATAAAACTTGTCCCAGTGTTTTATGGGTCGGTTAATTGAATCTTGAGTAATGTCCTCACTATTGTAATTCATAATTAACATTTATAGGGCTGCATCGTTTTCAAATCTAAAGATAATATTTTTAAACAAAACTTTGCTTGTAAGTATTTTTCTCTTGCACGTGTGTCAAAAAAAATGTTTTACATCCACTTCAAAATTAAATCTTCTTCAACTATTATGAATGATTTTTATTTAATTCTTTATAGTTAAGGTTGATCTTTATTGTTCTAAATACTAATATAATGAATTAGCATTTAGAAAGTATTTTTTAGATTTTTTAAGAAAAATTATAAAATGCAATTACGTGCAAAAGCAGACACCAACAAAAAAATAGAACAGTACATACCTTTTGCTACAAACCTTTTCGTTTAAAAGTATGGATGCTGAACCCTTTTTATTATTTAAGTCTTTTTTTGTTTTAGTAGGGTCAATGTCGCATTTGGCAAGAGAAGGAAATGGAGTGATTTACGAGCCTGCCATATACCTTTTCGAATCATTTTATCTAAAGATTGATTTGAATTTATAAAAGCAATAAAATGCTTTTGTAAGTTCAAAAATCCAATTTTATTAAATGTACACAACTGCTCTATTCAAAACATAGTTTTGTGTCCATCTGAACCTTAAATTTTATATCATACGATGCTTTTCTCTCATGTATTTTACTAAAGTCAATCCAATAGAAACAACATAGTAATCAATCCAACAGCTTTTTCAGATTGCACACAATTTATTATGGGACAATGTTTGAACTCAGAACAATTATCATTCCACAGTTGATAGGACTTGATAAATAAAACATATTGAACGATTAAAGCATATTAAAAATTCTCGTAACCCTTTTTTTAACTTAACATCATATTTGTTATCATAGCACATAGAAAAATAAATTTGGTCTAATTATTAATACATGGTGCGTAGCGTTTTTAAAAAGTGTTTAATGGTGCTTATTTTTGATTTTCGTCTTAAAAGCCCTTAAAGATGCTTTATTTCATTGGGTGTTTTTTTAAAGTGCTTCATTTTCCCTTTCCGAAAATGAATTTTTTTTTTCTTTACCATGTCGATTTTCGGCACGTATTATGCAAAAGCGTGCTTTTCGTATTGTTCTATTCAACGTTTTCACAATTCATTTAACGAGAATCTATTTCGGTGTACCGTCGGTTCGTATGAAAGCGCCCATCATTTCACATGCTTGATAAAATAACTTGCAAGTCTGCTTCGACTGAGCTGGGTTCGATGAGATTATTGCACTCTCATGCGCAACTCTGCCGCAAGATATTCTCCAAACTCAGGCTTCATTTTCCACCCTTTGATACCAAACCGAAAAATCTCATTTTATAATGGCTAATACAATCAAGAAAAGAGTTCTTTGTCAGAAAATAGTTATCTTATCATGATCATGTCTTATTATTCTTATTATTTTGCTTTTCTTAAAGTATAGAGTGCTTAAAAAGTACTTAAAGGTGCTTATTTTTCGTAGAAAGATTTGGCTACGCCCCCTACAATAATAACCGTTTGATGTGTTTACTAAAAATCGTAGTTATTAATCGCTGCTGTCCCGCAGTGGACTGATCGTTAGGACACGGTTCCCAGCAGATCACCGAAGTCACGCATCACTGGCTACGGTCAGTGTGCGGGTGGGTGACCACTTGGATCAGTCTGCGTAGGGACCGAGGGTGTGCGGTATTGGTCCTCGTTAAACTGTGCTACCGTAAAGTGCTCGACTTCGCGCGCAGGT